AGATTCCTCTTTTGAATAAGTGTTTATCATTTTTTCATTTCTCTCTGTCTATCTGTCTCTTGTCTGTCTGTTTCTCTTTCTCTCTCTCTCTCTCTCTCTCTCTCTCTCTCTCTCTCTCTCTCTCTCTCTTTTTTGCAGTACCAGGGATTGAACTCAGGACCTTGCACTTGCCAGGCAAGCACAAATTCTACTGAGCTATCTCCCTAGCCCTTCTTTTTCTTTCTTTTTTTTTTTCAGTTTTTAAAACAAATTATTTATTTATTTGGTACAGGGTCTTGATACACACCTTGGACTGGTAGTGATCCTCTGGTCTCCGCCTTCTCCGTGCTGGGATTATAGGTGTGCACCACCATGCCTGATTTCAGGGCCAGCACAATGTGCCCAGGGTTCCGGGATTGACAGGCAGTGTAGTACCAGGGATCAAACTCGGAACCTTGCGCTTGCCAGGCAGGCATTTAGACTACATTGAGCTATCTTCCCAGCCCTTAGTTAATTTATTTAGTATTTGATACAGTCTCACTACGCAGCTCAGACTCGTAGTGATCCTCTGGTCTCAGCCTCCCTGGCAGTGGGAATACAGGCGTGCACCACCACACCTAGACTCAGTTGCTGACTCAGCCCCAGTCCCTGTGCTTGCCTAAGGAGGTGCTTAGTCCACTGAGCTATCTTGCCTTCCCCTCCCTTTTTTTGAGACAGGGTCTTGCTATGTAACTCAGGCTATCCCTGATCTTGTTTATGTAGCCCAAGCTGGCCTTGAACTCATGGTGATCCTCCTGATTCAGCCTCCCAAGTGCTGGGATTATGGTAGTGTACCACTGTGCCCAGAAATTTTAACTATTTCTTGATGTGCAGTTTTATAAAACCTGGGCAAAATTAATGGGTTCTGAACATACTTGTCTGGTTAAAAAGAGATCTGGATCAATGACATTAGTATATACAGTACTAATGGGATTTTGTGTGGTACTTTTAGTGTACAGATCACTCTCTAGTACACTCCTGATTTCATCTTCATATTTCTCCCTTTACTGCACAGGGCACCTATGTCCAAGGTGCAGGGTTGATTAGGGAGTTACTTCTTCCAGGTTTCCTCAGGTAGTGAGCAGCAGATCTGAGTTCTCTATGGAGTGCTTCTGCTGTCCATACTTTGGCAAGGCTTAAATGACATAGTGTGAAGTATCCTCCCAATTGATGTATACATGTTCATCTTTGCTTTCTGCTACAAGACTCTCAAATATGTTTTTTTAATAAATTTTATTTTACAGTCCTGATATCAGCTTGTGCTAATGTTGTGAATTCATATTTTAGCTCTACCAGTCTTAGAAGAACAGATTGCCACTGGGACAGAATCAGGAAATATGGTAAATCTGAATGTCAAAGATGGGATGATTACTAAAACAGGTCTGAATCATAGGCGTCTTATATAGTAATGTACGATAACTATACTTCTCCTTAGTTGCAGTCAATGCTGATCAGTGGTCACAGCATTCCAGATGAACTTGTCACAAAACTGATGCTGGAGAAGCTCAACTCCTCAGAAGTCTCTCACTTCGGTATGGCCATTTACATGCAGAGACAGCTGGGCACAAAGAACTTCTAGGTTTGCTCTTCCTTTAGCCTGAGCACAGGAATCACAGTGTCCATGTTCTGTTAATCAGCATATATATATAATTCTCCAAATTCTACATTTGTTAAAGAAATATTTATGTTGATATAACTCAGTTTTATTTGATATTATGTTAGCCAACAAAATCATAAAAAATGTGCTCTGGCCAGTCTTGTGGTGCTGCTAGCTTTTGCTGACTACTTCTCTCTTCACCCCCTGAGTTTTCCTTGAGGATTTTGTTTCTCTGCATTTATTTCTTAAAAATGGGGGAAGGATTCAAAGTATTAAAAGGATCCTCTAATCTTTGTTTTGGAGGAAAATGACAGGATGACAAAATAATTCATATAAAAATTTCAAGCATAGTAGCTGTAGATATCTCTTCCTGTTTGGTAGGAACATCTTGACCTTTACCCCTGTCTGTGATGTCCAGATGATATTAGCACAAACCTTTCTTTTCTGTGAACTAAAGAAACTAGTAGAATTAAGTATCTTCAGTATCCAGTTCTCTTCTTTCCCCCCTTCTCCCACCCCAGTCCCTCTTTCCTCTTGAGCAGTTTCTTCCCATTGCACAATATCTATTATGCATTTTGAACCTTATTTACTCTTTAAGCTTCTCATACTAGGGAGACAATATGATGTTTACACATATGAGTCAGATCTGTTTCACTTATGAATATGGTCTCAAGTTGTGTCCATTTACCTAGAAAAGTCTGAAGTTTATCTGTCTTTATGGCTAATACTCCATTGTATAAAAAGACCACATATTATTTATCCATTCCCTGGTTAATGGGCATTTGGATTGTTTCCAAGATTTAGCTATTACAAATTGTGCTGCTATAAACCTAGAACACATACATCTACGTGGTGTGATGTTTTTAATTCTTCTGGGAAGATACCCAGAAGGAGAATACCTGGGTCAAATGGGGCCTCCATTCCTAGTATTTTTGAGGCATCTCCATACTGATTTCCATAGTGGTTGTACCAGTTTACACTCCCATCACCAGTGAAGGATTCCTTATTCCCCATAGGCCTTCAGTATTTGTTATTGGTTATTGGTTGATTTCTTGATAATAACCATTCATTCTTGGGTGAGATAGAATCTCGGTGTTGTTTTAATTCACATCTCTTGAATGACCAGTGATGAACATTTTTTCATGTTTTTATTTTCCATTTGTATTTCTTCATCTGAGAAGTGTGTATTCATCTCAGATGTTCATTTTTTTGCTGGGTATTGTAATTTGGGACATCTGATTGTTTTCAATTATTTGTATGTTCTACATATAAGTCCTTTGCCTGAGGGACAACTTGATATAAATTTTTCCCATTCTGTTGGTTGTCTTTTCAACAGTTGATAAGTAAACTATATCTATTTATCTATATGTTCATCAGGGACAAAGAGGATGAACTTGGGGGAAAAATACCCAGATCATATGAGGTTAGAAAAATAAAATGTCAAAAAAGGACAATTGCAGAATTCTAATTTTGGTCAATAAGTGACCTCAAAAAGTGTAGTAACTGAACTGAAGCATGTGTATCAGTGCCTAAGTATTTATGCTTCTTTAAAAATTTATAGTAGTTTGATGGCTATAAAAACCAAGGTATAAATAATAAAAATTGGCAAAAGAAGAAAGGAAAAATTATGAAAAAGGAAACTTAGCTAAGCTATTCACAGTTCATAAACTTTAAAATTCTTCTTAGGGAGGAGTTGAAACAAAATTACCCATCAGGATAAATGTAAAGATCTGTCTGTCTGTCTGTCTGTCTGTCTGTCTGTCTGTCTCTCTCTCTCTCTCTCTCTCTCTCTCTCTCTCTCTCTCTC